ATTAAAACAGTAGAAATCCCGAAATCCCCTTCATCTTAGCTCCAGTTATACTTTAGGGTAAGGCGATACAATACTTACAGCACGGGTACTAGCAAAAAGCCCATACACTCGTGTTTTGCTGATATTCTGCTGCTGCATGGCGAAGCTGCTAGGGGTTCAGCTCGTTAGGGGGTTCCCCGGCATTCCCCGTGTGTTCTCTGGTAGATACTCCATTTAATAATTGTCGCTTTTTAATTTCCTCAGAAATTATATACAAACTTGGAGTAGATCAGTTTATTCAAGCTATATAGGCTCAGACCAAGAATCTTATGTATGAATATTTGAGCCAAAGTCCATTGGCCACAGCGGGTACAGCGGTACGGGTCTGGGCCTATTGACCTTGAATAAACTGATCTACTCCAACTCCTTAGATAATTTATGAGGAAATTAAAAATCAACAACTTCTAGTTATGTACAGGTACACGCTGACACGCGGCAAATTCAATTTATTTGACATTCTATCAAACCGTTTTCCAGATATAAACTTGCTCTATTGTTGAATCCGTAGTTACAGAATGCCATAACTATCATCGACTTGGATTGAGGGTCAAATAACACCATATAATAGGATCTGGCCAATTGTGTATGACCCAATGCACACGAGATCGGAGGTTGTGATGTGTTTTCTTTCGTGCTCGCTGGTTAGGGTATTTTCCGAAAAACCGTCCTCGTATTTCTCCAAAATTCAAGTCCTATACGGCAGCGACCAATATCAGGAAATGTTATCTGAGATTCAGATTGGCGTTTTAAAACTAAAAGGATAACTTTACAAAGCGGACCGCCGACGTTTGAATGCATTTTGTTTCGACCGCCAAAAAACTGCACCCGATCCAAATAACTGCGAAATGGCAGAATGCATCTCTATGACTGACTTTAAATACCCCATATATCCAGGTATATGTCGTGAAAAACATGAATAAAAATGCTTTTCCTGCACGAAATTAGCAACAAATCATGACAACTTCATCTTTATGCTCGACGAAAGTGCATCCCTGAATTTCAAGGAAGTCTTTAATTAAAATATTTTCGGGAACGTTAAATGTACATTCCAATAATACTGTATCTGTCGTTCAGTGGAGCGTCCTATGAAGCATTCAGCATATTCCACATCCACTGCTAAATTAAATAAGCCCCATTTAATATATTTTGAATGGCCTGGGGCAAAGAATCATTTCCATAGGCGGAAAGTTTACGATTTGTAGACTCTTGACCCTAAACACAGTGAGACGGTAGATCAGATTCAATACTACCTAGAAATTCAAAAACCTGTCAAAGACCTAAATACACACTTTTTAAAATCGAAAGTCTGGGATTGATAGGATTTGCTACCGACCGAGTATAAAAATAAATATATTAATTTTGTTTCTATAAAATATATTTGAATTGATAATGTAAACTGAAATAAACTTGAAAAGTGATACCACATATAGGAGAGCGAGTTCCAGACAGCAGTTCAGAATAAGGCGGTGCGATCGCAAGAATGAGAAGTTCATTGGCCTGACGTTTCGGCTTCTCACTCGAACCCATCATCAGATAGAGTCGCAGAAAGGCGGGTGGTAGAGGCACAAGAGGCGCTGTATTTAAAGAGCACACTCATTCGACAACCACAGCTCTATAATAATTAGCAGCATTTGCATCCATCGCCGGGAGTTGTATGCCATGCGCCGACCGCTTGTCGGTCCATACCCGCGTTATTACTTGCCTTGGTTTTATCGCCATCGCTGATTCTTGGCTAAACGATTGCACGACAGGTTGGCGCGCTGTCACCGGAAGCATTGGTTGTCCGCGGCCTCCGCACGTAGTTAATTACTTCGCCTTGGCAAAGAATACGGAGCCAGGTTGGACAACCATGATTGAAGCAGCTCACGGTTCACGAGAGAACCTCTATTCCGTTAAAGTTAAAGATGTGGCGGGTGCCGCAATATGGTCGCAGGCCTTATTACTCCTCACCGTTGCTGCATGTTCGGCCAATTGAGTTAAGAATAATCTTCCATTTTATATGACGTATTGCATTGGTCGCATTTGCACCATGTGTGGTAAAGGGCCCTGGGTGTTTCATGTTGTGGTTGTCCGGTAAATGCGTTTACTATACACTGCGCTCCTTGTTCCTCTTCTACTTTCTTCTGCGAATCTCTCTGATGATGGGCTCGAATGAAGTTTCTGTTTCCACCGTCTCATCATCATCATCATCGTTATCATCGTCGTGTTGGCACTGGAGAACTCGCGTGCAATAACACCAAGCGACCGACGCATGGCGAATGCCCAAGAAACGCCTTGGCCCGATTCTATGGTTTCCCCAAGCTACACAAGGAGGGTTCTCCTCTCCAGCGCATTGTATCGCTCAAAGGCACTCCAATAGCTGTTTCGGCGCCTCCAATTCCTGACCGCTAATTTAGACACCACCGCCTTTTCGTCAACACAATTCCTGGAGACGCTTAAAGGAGTAAGTCTCTTGCCAAATGAGGTCATGGTATCTGTTGATGTCACGTCTATCTCTAATTCTATCCTTCAGGATCTGGCAATGGAGACAGTCGAGCTACTCCTACAAAGCAAATACAATGAAACGGAGAACCGTCTCGGACATGCCCAAGTCTTTCAGGTCCTAAAGTTCTGTCTCAAGACGTGCTTCAAGTTTGACGGAACAATGTACGAGCAAGTGAAGGGAACACCAATGTGTTCGCCGATTTCGGGATTCATCGCCGATCCGGTCCAAAAGCGGTTAGTGTTGCTGGTCTTACAACACCACAGACCGAAATTCTGGACTCGGTATTTAGACTATACCTTCGTCGTCATCGAAAGGGAACAGGTGGAAACATTCAAAGAACGTCCCAACAGCTTCTTTCCGGACATACAATTTACGATGGAGGAGGAAGAAAATAACCAGCTGGCCTTCCGTGATGTACTCGTCTAGCGCAAAGATTGTGGTGGCCTAAAGACCAAAGTGTTCAGAAACGCGACGAACACGACGCAAATACTGAACTTCAACAGTAACCACTCAATCTGCCACAAACGCAGTTGCGTAAGAACGCTATTTCGGCGTGCTGAGACGAACTGCAGTGAACTGGAAGACAAGATTGCCGAATCCCAATATCTTCGACGGGTTTTCAGAGAACATGGTTACCCGCGCAACCTCGTCACCGGGTGCATGCGTAAACGAGACGAGCGACAAAATCGTGCCGACCCCAAATTCTGGCGAGCGATCCCATACATCAAGAACGTCTCCGAGGCCGTCAGTCGCCTTCTTGCACCACTTGGGGTTGGAGTTGCGCACAGACCGGAGGCCACCATAAGGCGTCAGGTGATGAGACCAAAAGACCCACGGCCACGGCAAGAAACATCTGGAGTCGTTTACCGGGTCTGGCGCAGTTACGGAAAAAGCAACTACGTCGGAGAAACTGGAAGACTGCCCCGAACGCGAATTGCTGAACACGCGGAAGCGGTACGGAGGATTGACGCAAACTCTCAGGTCGCGGCCCATTCGACGAGACCCGGCCACACATTCAAGTTCGATGACGCCGAAATTCTTGCGAGAAGGGATAATTGCGTGAGCCGCGAGTTGCTTGAATCATTGGTTCACGAGACCTCAGTCTATAAACAAGTGCAGCGACATCAGCACTCCATATTCGGTGCTGAGGCATAGACTGGCCAAAGTAATTGACCATTCGGGGAGCGCGCAAGCCGGTGAGCCAGATGACCGAGCAATCATCACGCCAGCATCCAACACGGGTGATGACATTTCGGCAATTAACAACTTGCATGCCAGTCATTAAGCAATTAGCGTACCAACGGGCAACAGTCCTTGATAAAGGGGAGCGCGGTTAAGTACTATAGGTATGCGGTAGCAAAGCAACTGCATACTATAAATACTGCAACTTCCTGTGCACGAGTCACCCTTTTCTGCCTCTGTCTCTTATGATGGGTTCAAGTGAGAATCCGACACGTCAGGCGAATAAAGCTCTCGTTATAGCGATCGCTTCTTCTTCTTCTTCTTCTTCTTCTTCTTCTTCTTCTTCTTCTGCTTCTTCTCATCATCATCATCATCATCATCATCATCATCATCATCATCATCATCATCATCATCATCATCATCATCATCATCATCATCATCATCATCATCATCATCATCATCATCATCATCATCATCATCATCATCATCATCATCATCATTATCACCATCATCATCACCATCACCAACATCTTCATCTTCATGATTTTCTTTTAAATTGCGCTTTGCATTTCGCAAGACGAATCACTGGTCATACGTCAAAATTTACACTCATTTGCTTGTACTTCACACAAATTTGTTTCAAATCTAATGTCGTTAATGTACTCAAGAATTCAGCTAACTCATTTTGACAATTTATATTTAGAAATATGTCTCCTTTTATTATTTGATAACGTGACTACTGACTTGCATCTAATGCGCGCTTTTCAACAATATTCGTTTGCAACGATAATATCTGATCGTGTCAAAATGCTGAGCAAAGAAATTCACTGCGGTCGACTTTATACAAGTCAGCCTGCCCCGAGATTTCCTGTCCGCATGTGTCACCCGTTTATGACTGAATGTTTCCAGGCCCGCCAAAATTCTTAAATTTGTTGTGCATTGTCTCTTAAGGTAGTCGTTAGATGAGAATCGGTAACCAACAAAGGTAGATGCTAGGTAAATAGACCTTGAAATTTATTTGCATAATTAGCTGTTTACTTATATGAAGCCTAGTATAAAAACTACTTGTTGACGAAGGAATAGTTGATTGTCAAAATCTATGTGTACAGTATATAAGGTGAATCTTTAATTGCGTCTAATTTTTGACGGGAGTAGAGCGCGCAAATGTAAAAGGTTCTCGATTAACTGTCTGATAAATATTTTTATTGTTTTTATTTGAAGTAATATAATGATCGAAAAGTTGCTCTGCTGCCTGTTAACCACCCCAGATGCAACTGACAGTCACGCTAAGTCATTCCTTCTGAAGGTCACCTCTTTTGCACTCTCACGGTTGTGGGATCCGAGCAGCGACGTTTTTTCCAGGAAAACCTAATGCATTTTGCATGACACATGTAAACGGCTATTTAGTCTCGCCAGCCATTACGTCCTAGCCAACCCTCGGTTGTCCTGACGTCGCCACATCGTTAGAGTCTGGCGGATGAGGGGGATGGAGTGAGGCAGAAGCCGCGCAAGTCTGCTTTACTACAAATTAATCCAAGCGCTGGACGTTGTCGATCGCTACAGTCGATCTCTCATATTCCTCTTATCTCCTCGACCACACTATCTACCGGCAGATATGCGATGTTGCCTTATAAAAAATTCTACACTACCTAAGCCACCATTATTCGAGTAATATTCAGCAACCTATTGCTGATAAAGTATTTTCGCCGACAAAAATATATTAGAAGGCAAGTAATGCTCGTTTTAGTTAGACTTAAAGACTCCGTTTTGAAATGTTTATCAAATCATATTTGAATGTTGGCACAATCCGCGGAAACAAAGGCGTATTTCATTTAGATACTCGGGCTCCGGGAGTTAATTGTCTGATAAAGTTCCACGGAGATGTTCCAAGCCAAAGAAGACCTTGTATCCGTGCGATCGCTAAAAACATCATAGTTAACGGTTCACCAACGGTTGGGAGCTTCTGACTTACTTGACTATCATTACATTCTCAGTAAATATGCATTTTCGTTCAGCTTTTAGACAAGTTCAGCACATGCTGATCATCATAATATAAGTATTAATACTTAATAGGCTTAAAAGCACTTTCAGCAGTCCGTAGTCAGCCAGTAAGGCAGACAAAGAGAATTATCGATGCTAAATATATCTGGAGACACAATGAAAACGGTTCCTTTGTCATCAACTTATTTTGGAGACATAAAAGAAAAAAGAATTGTTACTTTTAGACGGCCCTGTTAACAAAGGGGAATATACAGGTACCCAGTTTTCTCTAAAAGCTTTTTCTACCCCAGCGCACTAATTTTTCAAGGGTCCTTTCAAAAAAACAAAAAAATAAGGTCTTAAAAATTCAGTGCCATCGAAAACATGAAAAAGCTTCTCAGTTTGTCAAAACAGACCAGAACAAAGTTAGGCGTTTAGTATAGTCTGGTAGTTATCTAAGGACTGAAATCAGCACAAACAAGACACAATTACCGTCTAAGCAGAAGCTGATTGTTTGGATGAAAACTTGAAGACCGATAAACCGGCCTGTGCCTTAGTCCCATACGCCTGTAAATGACTTTAAGTGGAAGTCCTTGTCAAGACTTATCGGTCGAATGAGTTTTTGTTTTCACTTTATCTGCATATATCGTGTCTTTATGCTTTCATCGAAGGAATGGTCTTAGGACTGTTAGTCTCCATATTACTCCTTTGGATTAGGCCTGTTTTAAAGTCATCTTTTACATAATCTAGTTTTCTTGTCAGACACCAAGGATATATTTAGGGATTAGGATGTAACGCTACTGCAATACAAGGTTCAAAGTAAATAGACGCCGTTTTTATAAGCCGGGTAGGCTAATTTCTAGCCAAATTATCCTGGCAACGGAAATTTCCCCTGTCCTCTTTCATGCGGCTTTTCTTTCGATGACAGTGAGCCGCAATATTCGTTTCCTTAGTAACAATTAAAATAACGTTCTTCAGATGAGACAACCAAATATAGGCCGCCTGATCTAAACTTCGAGCGTTCGGGATGTGTTGTCTCTTGAGACTGGTTTGAAAATTGATAACTTATTCTTTGCTAAATGGTAAGGCTTCATCGAAATGGGACATTTAAAAGTGGCCAAACGATTATTCTTAAAGCTGGATAACTACAGAATTATTTTATTTATGTTTGAGATTCTCACATGCGAGACAACAGAATCTGTCAAAACGTTAGGCAAATTGAAATCATTATCACCCTCAATCATGTGTTCCTACACTTCCATTAATGTTTCAGAAGAATATTTGCTATTATTCTACTCTACCTACTATTCTACGGATATTCGTGACCTTAATGGTTAAACTTTAAAGACAACACCTGTCTCTTACGAAGCGTATTAATTTTCCTAGCGAGCGCTGTCTTCTCGTTTCTGCTGTTTAACTATGCCTCCTTTTAATCTCAAAGGATTTTCTGAGAGAAAATGTGCACGCGAAGCTGCGCGTCGCGGAGAATACGGTTAATCCAAAAGTTAATGTCTCTTAAAACCCTCATTCATATCCAAAAGCGTTTTTAAAGAATTTTAACCACAGTTATTGCAACGCCTCATCATAGATTCATCGCTTGTTTCTTAATTAGTGTGACATCAATATTGTTAAACTTCCCAGGCAATAGTGAAGGATAAGACGACGCCTTGGCGATTCCTTTGGTGATGGAATATCAGGCTCATGCAATGAGTCAATGAGCAAATTTCAAATAAATTTTCGTTCTTGAACTGAAACTGCAGCAGCAGTCGGAGATTTTAATTTGCGCTTGGACACCAGGTCTACCAGTATAGTGGAGACTTCAGCTTTGCTAGCGACCAAAAAAGATGAAAAGTCAAATGTTGTTCAAATCTAGCATTTATTTTCCTCGAAAATTCAGACGAGCAGGCATTTGGAGTTGTTATTAACCCCACCCAGAAAAAGACGACTATGCGGCCATAACAAAGTAGGGCAGTTTTTGAATCAGAACTGACAGGCGGTGAGACCGTGTTTTTCCGTAAATTCGCGGAGGGGGCCGTCCCTTTTAATTAGACCATACGAGTTCAAAGAACTATGTTTCAACCAAATGTTTTGCTGGGCGTCGACGGATGAATATTTTAGGACCTTCTTTTATGGTGTGTATCACGCGGCAGAATCGGACCATTTTGAATGATTGTGATGTACTTGATTAAGAATGTACATCTTTCTCACCATCGTATCATGCTACATCGCAAAACCTTTGCATTACGACCGTATTCGCTAAGGTAACTGGGAACCAGAACAAATGAAATTTTTGTTCTAGCGCTTAAAAGTCAAACAGACTTAGAAAGAGCAGTTTTATGGATCTAACAATGGTTTCCTGTTTCCGCTCATGAACGAGTGAAAACGGCTATATTTGCTATCAGTTTTTGTTTTCAAAATCCTCAAAAAGTCACTTACGATACTATTGTTTAACAAGAGCCCAACTAAAACTGATTTGCGAGTAGAGCATTTCGAAATAGGAATTGGCACCCAGTAGATGAATGTTCAGCGTCAACGTTAATTCAAACATCATTCCTGAATGCTGATTATATTAAAGGGATGCCACGGGATAAAACATCAGCTAGAAGGCGATTGGTATGCACTTATCCCGACCACTGATTACCTATTTCTAGTTTTTAAGCGGGTTATGGGACTCAATGAATAACTCCGTAAATTTAGTTCGACGCTAGTTAAAAATCAGAAGAAAATGGCGCAAGCGACGACAAGACGCCGACACAACCTGCGATCCTAAAAACATCGACGAAAAGAAAATCAGGGGCAAGTTAATATGATAATGCTATATAGGGATCACAACATGAAAATCAAAAAATGCGGCTAGACAACATGTGCATAAGTAAGCATCGATCGACCTAAAGAGGCGCGCACAGAGGTGCTATTTTTAAATACAACATTAAAATAGATGAAAAATATATTTTTTAGCTTAAAAGGTCAATAAATTAAATGCTGATCACAAGTAAATGATTATTTGCATAAATTCCTGGAATACCCAATGTGGAAAGTGGATCCAATTGATACCATACGACAGGAGGGTAAGTTGCTTTAACAAAGGCATCCTTTAGACAATGGTTTACAGTAGGAAGAGGTTTACCCCTCCATAGCAACCTGTTCCGATGCGCCGTCCAAAAGCTATTAAAATAACAACAACAACCACAATAAAGCGTGTTATTAGAGATTTATATCTAATTGGCCCAGCCTGATGGATTTTCTTTTATTGAGATCAACCCACTTTTCTCTTCACTGAAACTGAAAGGCCACAAAAGCCTACAAATAAAAAGATTTTTTGTCAAAATTGGATCACTGCTAAAAGAGTGACAATAATCTGGGGCACTGTTAATGGAACACTTTTTTCACAGTGGCGACTTCTCAGGCAAAGTAATGGGCTGATATAGGATTCGAGAAGAAATTACAATTCCTTTAAACTATAGGAAGTTTCACGTAAAAGAGAAACAGCTGATGATTTTTTCACATCAAGCAGAATTCTTATAACAAGCGGAGTAGTTCGTGTTGAGTAGAAAAGTGAATAATTATTAATCCCTTCCGATATTTTTAAAACATGGCGAAAATCTTAAACGTCATTGAGGATCCACGACATCA